TGAAAATTATGTTCTCTTAACATGAGGGAATGAAATTAGAAATCAGTAATAGCAGGAAATTTGAAAAATTCACAAATATGTGAAAATTAAATAATGCATTCCAAATAACCAGTGGATCAAAAAGGCAATCACAAAGGAAGTTAGAGCAAAATTGGAATTAGGACAACTTGACCCCTGAGAGCTCCAGGAACTAGCGTTTATCCAGAGCACAGTTTACAAAATACCATCCCTGGAAGAAATAATCCCCAGGAATCCCCGCTGGTAGGGGTCAAGGAGCAGAGGCCTTGATGAAGTGAACTTCAACCCCCACTTCCTCAATTCAAGACCTGAGTCTGACAAGGACGTTTCTTCTCATTTTGATCGTGAGGTTTTCAAGGCAGGACCCCAATATTGGGCCCAGACACCCCCAATAAAGTGCCACCTGTTCACTCCTGTCAATCAGCCAATTAGAGGTTGACTTCCTCCCTCACTGCTGATGACTTTCACTAACCCCATCATGGAAATGGCGTGGCAGCTCCAGCTTCCACAGGCCCTGCCTACTGTGTAGGGTGGAGGTGGGACTGGGGGGCATGTACAGACACCAAGTGAAGGCATTGGGCTCTGGGAGGAAAGGGGGTTGGATTAGGTGTCTGTTATTATTCTTTGCTGCAATACAGAGTGAGTGTCTCTGAAATCCTAATTGCAAATATCCCCTTGCACCCTGGGTTCCTTTTTTGATGATGGTGGTGGTGTGATAATGTGTATGTGTGTATGTGTTTCACATGAGCTTATTCAGCTCTAGAAATAAAAGGATTTCAAGAATTTTCTTTATTTAGGTATAAAAAAATACAGTACGTCCCATGCACCAGTGTGGCCAATATATAGTTATTATCACTAGAGCAATAACTACAATGATAGGAAAAAGAAGGTTATAGGAATTTGTTCATCCAACTAAAAAATCTGAATTAAAATTGTTAACCTAAATAGCAACCCACTTATTATGCAAAAACCTTTATTCTATATGTTTGTGAGAGCTAGAAATATGTAAGTATTATTAGTAAAATATATATATATACATATATATATGTATATATATATATATAGTAGTTATTGGTTTAAAAAAAAAGTCAAGTGTTATCTACAGTCTCCTGAAGTGTGAGGGCCCTTGCCCTGAGGGGAACCTCAGTCCATGACCAAGAGTGAATTGGAGAGTTTGCCTCCTTTCCTGCCCTCTCCCGTTGAGTGATGCCACTTCCCCAGGGTGTGTTTGCAGTGGAATGTTCCAGATTTGGCTGAAAGTGGGAGATGCACAGATGACCACAGGGCATGGGCAAGGCAGGGTGTGCCCGAGGGATGAGGCCTTGCCAGGGTTTCCTGAGATGTGGCAACAAACGAGGTGCGTAAAGGCAAATGACACAGTTCTGTTGTGCAGTCATGTTTGGGTTTGGACTTTGACCAGAGTTGCTGAGGGTCACATCTTGAGGGCCTTCAAGTCAAGAGATAAGGAGTGGATGGAGAAAGAGAGAGAGAGAGAAAGAGCGTGAAGGAGTGACTGGGCAAGGAAGATAAGGGGAGAGGTCTTCTGCTCTGGGGAACATCTGCTCCACTTCCCAGGCAAAACTGATGGGGTGTCAATGAGACTCAAATTGGGGTCACAGCTACTCCAGGCCCTCTCCCGAGGGTGTGGGTGTGCAGGTGGCCCTCAGCATATGATCTGTCACACTTGGTCTCCACTGTCCCTCCAGGATGGATTCACAGTTGCTTCAAAGTTCAACAAGCCGTTTTCCTGACTTTGGTTGAATTTTCAGTGCTCAGTACAGCAGTTACAGGTGTGGTAGCCAGCGAGGTCACCTCAGGACCCAAGTTTGGTAGCTGTCAAGGGACCCACTCATCCTTCTTGACAGACCTGGGGAGAGGCTGGGAGTGGTAGGGACTTGGGAGAGCATGAGGAAGTTGAAGCAGGGCTGGCATGATGGATGGTTCCAGTCTCTGGTGGGACTGGGCTGCAGAGACTCTTGCCCCACAGGCCATGCCCTTTGCTCCAGGCAGACAGGCACCAGGATCTCACCAACCTTACCGGGGAAGGGGGGGGGG